ATCTGTAAGTATCTCATTTTTACCATAGATGAAGACGGGTGTAATGTTTAAATCAAATGTGATTATGCAGAACGGGTGATTTAGCTATTGTATAGTCATGTCGAGGGAAGTTAACCGGGAATGGACTTGTGCTGTAGTATTGTGAGAGTTGCGCCCCTGTGAACTTTTTCCTGTTTAAAAATAATATGTCATTAACTGAACAACAGGGGTCGGCGTGGTCGAGTCGGCCACTCTTTTAGAAGAGACAACTCCAAAATCAACAAAATCAAACAACTGCTGAATTGTAGTTTGTTCTTGGTTGGCCAAAGGCTATGGAATCCAAAAAGAAAAGCAAGCTGAAATCGGAGTCAATGGCCCCAATGGCGCACAACCAGTTTACACGTAAATCTTTAATTGAGTCGGCAAAGCTCATGGTTGATAAATACGAAAAAAGTCTCCAGTTCAAACCCTCTGGCAGATAAGACTGATTGGATCAACACTGCCTACATTTGTGTAAATCAGGATCGTTATATTTGCGATTTTATTGTCTATCATCACCAACATTACAGTACTGAACTTACCTAAGTGAATCCATTGGGCATTACGACACAACAAGTATTGTGATCCCTGGGAATTAGTGAATAGACATACAGAGTCATGTCTGGCAGCATGGGAGCCTTCACTAGAGGCCTCTAGTGGAGATATCTCTCTCTTTTGTTTCACTAGAAAATCATTCAACTTCTGGAGCCCTGAAATCGTCAATTCTCTGTAATGAAATATCATCAGAGTTTTCAGGATTTATAATCAAAGCCTTCTATGTAAATGCAAATGTAAATACATTCGTATTTGTAAATAATTTTTGAAGACAATAGCAATGAAATAAAATAAAAGACTCACTTTTTCTGAGACCAACTCGTAAGTGAAGAGCATGCACTTACATTCATGTCTCGGTTTATAGAGCAGCCCTAAGAGATGAATAGTAATAACTACTTAATATTAAACTCAGACCGAATTCAAGGCAAAACAATGAAAATCTTTTGAATAGACATAAATCTTTACGTTTAAGTACATTATTTACTACTGAGTAAGCCATAAATCTAAATTAATCAAATTACCTAGTCCCTACATTCAGTGGCGTAGCGAGGTCGGGGTGTCACCCGGTGAGGCACTTAATGGTGTCACCCTCAGAGGCGTAGCGGCCCTTCCCGGGAAAAACTTTCAATTTTCGATTTGCACCCCCCCCCCCCTCCCTCAAACTTTCGATTTGCACCCCCCCCCTCAAACTTTCGATTTCCACCCCTCCCCTCAAATTTTTCTCTGTATATTTTGCTATTTTTTGCCTTGGTGTCACCCCCCCTAAATGGTGTCACCCGGTCCGCACCCCCGCCCCCCCCCCCCCCTCGCTACGCCTCTGCCTACAGTACTAGTCTAAGTCTATTCTAATCCCCCTGAAATCGTAATTCTGCCTCTACTCTTTGCAAAATCCCCAGATTATTGTAAATAGAAAAAAAACACTACATTAGTATATGTAGAAACAAATAATCCATAAATGCGAGCACCAGACCCGATCAAATCCTTAATCCTACCATCTGTCTGAACCTAATCTCTGAACACTCGCCAACCTAAATAAGATTTGATACTGGTTTAAGAACGTGCCTTTTTAAGATGGCGTGGTCGGGTGGTAGAGCATACGACTTATCACCCAAAAGTCTCGTGTTCGAATCCCGGGTTCGTGTCATAAGATCATCCTGAGTTCCCCCCGGTTCGGATGGGTACCTGACTACAGTTGGGGAAAGTAAACGCGGCTGAGCATAGTACTGACTACACTACGCCTTCATATGCCGAGGTAACTGAAACAGATGAACTCTACTTCACCTGCCGCAATGGACAGGCAGGTTCTAAAGGGCAGTTTATTACCAAAATTTTTATTCGCTAATACACCATCTATTCAGTTTATGGTATTTTGTATAAAAAGGGCAAAATATATTTGATTAAATTCTGATTATCGTACCTGTGTGTCTTGTTGTTTCTTTGCCAATGTCAAGCCACATGTCATTACCAAACACGTCCAAACTACAAACATTTTCTGTGAGATGTCGATCTTAGTTACCGAGGACATTGTACTGAATGTTGGGGCAGCAAGCGGTAACATTCACTAAAATTAATACAGTTATTTTTTTTCTCAGGACAATGTAAATCTACCTTACATTTTAACAATAGGCTTGAAAATTCCATGTAATCATACTAAATTTAAAGAAAATAAAGTTTGTTTTTTTTTAAAGCCAAATCTAAAGAAATATTGCATAACTAAGCCATGTGGTTATAAAAGTATACGTTGTTTTAAAACTTTATCGGCAAAGTATTGAGAACAAATCACTAAATTATAGAAAGGTTTATAGAAGATCGTTAACATATTTTCAGTACAGCCAATCGATGTTTGTCTTAGAAAAGTAATACTGCAGGTTATAATTTAGGCTTCATGAAAATACAAACAAATGCGGCCTTAAAGCAAAACATTTCTTTTAAAGTTTTCTTCCTTTTTTAAATGCCTTTTGAACTGAAATTCGAATCAAACTAATTTCTCATTATCACGTCTACTTTTCAAAGTGAATTAAAATTGCCTTCTAACTGTGATTAAATGTAAAAAATAAATCGTGCTTACATAATTTTAAGTATTTCTCCATCAGTCAAAGATAGCAATAGTTTTCATTTTGCTTTTAGACAATAGAAACCATACTTTAGTCTATGTTCCGTTTCATAGGGGTTTAAAATAGTGTTTGAAAAGACGCGTAAAGTATTTAGTAAATACAACACAGCGGGTTAATATCAACTTGTTATTTTTACATAATATTAATAACGTGCACAAGTTGTTACTGTTTATTAATGACATTGTTGTAGTAGCGGTTAACATAAAATTTTATCAAACCATTTCAGATGCTACAATGGACCCTAGCGAGAATAGTCTCAATGGTTTTCGAGAGTCCAATTAAATATTTTAAAAATCATGCACCGTGTATTTAGAATTGATATGGTTATAAACCCCTGAGGGTTGGGTTTTTTTCAGCCTTTATAAAAGAGTTGATGCATTTAAAGTTTTAGTATTTTCGGTATTATAACACAATTTTTTTTAAAAAGGCAAAGCAATTTGGTTTTCACTTTGTAATGGCAACATAAACAATGACATCCTGCTATTGGATAGGCTGGCATAAATTTCATTTTCCAAAAATTTAAAGAAAAATGGCATAACTATGCCACTTGGTCCGAAATAGCATTATTTTATTTACAAACTTTATCTGCCAAGTTTTATAAGCAAATAACTCGATCACGGAGTTCCTATACAGCCAAACAATGTTTGTCTTACGAAAGTGAAACTTAGGCGTCATGAAAACAAATAGAAATGTAGCCTTAAAGCAAAAACATTCATTTTTCTAGTTCTCTGGATTCGCAGCTTATATAGAATTGGTTCTAAAAATATTAAATTTCTGAATTATTTTTAGGCTTAATTAAGTTTTTATATTTTATTATTTTTACGGCCGCTATGAAGTCAAAATATAAGAAAAAAAGAACTTTATGTCAACAATATGATGGAAGGATTCTTGTCAACTCGGTAGCCTCGATTAGGTTTGATATAGACCTTCTCAAGTTTTCACTCAAGTCTTTAGCGCGATTTTATTGGAACTGCCATCACCCTTAGTGATATATTAGATGGCTTTTTTTTCGACAATTATGACAGAACTCATTGTTCTCCATTCATATTTTCAAGGTAAGTTTTATCTACGTATTTTACATCCTATAAATGTTGTAGGGAAAATTCAAACCAAAAATGACGATGCATGTCTTTCGATTCATTTACAAATCGACTTCATTGGTTTTCGAATCGACTTTAGTCGTTTTTATATCGACTTAATTGTTTTCATAATCGACTTTCGCCGTTTTCACATCGACTTTAGTCATTTTTATATCGACTTTAGCCGTTTTTATATCGACTTAATTGTTTTCATAATCGACTTTAGCCGTTTTCATATCGACTTTAGTCATTTTTATATCGACTTTAGCCGTTTTTATATCGACTTCAGTCGTTTTTATATCGACTTTATTCGTTTATATATCTCTGCAAGACTTTGTTTTCAACTCTTCTTTGTTTAAAAAATAAAAACATAAAATAACCAAATACATTAAATTTTGAGAATGATATGAGGTTTGCGTTTACAAAAACTCAACCACAACTTTTGGAGTTGGCTTAATTTCAACAATCTTAATTACGCCTACGATATAAACAATGAAAAATAAAATAACACTAAACACAATATTTTCGTCGTTGTATTTTCTTTATTCCACCTTAAATTTGAAGGGAGAGAGGGGAGGATGTCGCAGGTAGTTTTAAAAACATAAAAAGGCGCGTCGCCAACTGAAAAGGTTTGAGAACCTTTGAAAATAGATACTAGGACTTGTTGGACATAGACAAGATTATACAAGGGCGTGGTTGGACTATATGACTTAGACATGATATATTAGTGCGTGATTGGACTACATGACTTAGACATGATATATTAGTGCGTGATTGGACTACATGACTTAGACATGATATATTAGGGCATGATTGGACTAAATGACTTAGACATGACATATTAGGGCGTGATTGGACTACATGACTTAAACATGATATATTAGGGCGTGATTGGACTACATGACTTAGACATGATATATTAGGGCATGATTGGACTACATGACTTGACATGATATATTAGCGCGTGAATGGTCTACATGACTTAGACATGATATATTAGGGCGTGATTGGACTACATGACTTAGACATGATATTTTAGGACTTGATTGGACCACATGACTTAGACATGATATACTAAGACGTTATTAAAATTAGATCAAATGACATGGTTGTCAACATTACTTAAACATACATTCGTATGACGCGCTTCTACCACTCAAACATCAGGTCATATGACGTAGTTTTGCTATATTACTTAGACTTCAGACCCTAGGACTTGGTTGTGCTACATAACTTAGATCGTAGATTCACCCGACGTCGACGGGACCCAGCTCTCAATGGCAGCAGTTACAGCTTCTGGGACTTTTTCCGGCTTTGGTGGTTGGGGCTTGGAACGGAGTCTGGTCATAAAAAAGTAAACAATAAATCATTGCATGCTACCCCCACACACCACTTGCACTTGTGTGGAAAACTTGTGTGGTTTTTAAGCATGTCACTGTTTGTATCTGATTAATCAAACATGTAGCGATAATTATAAATTAGATGTTACTTCTCATTTTTTATTTAAAAAAACAACATGTTTGCATTGTTTATTTTGCAAGCAGACCAATTAATGGAGTCAAGGTGCTAAAATAGCCGGTGGAGAACACTGGTCGCCAAACCTCACACGAACGCCCCTTAAAAATTTACATTTTTTTAATCACATAAATTTTTCTCATCAGTTTCCTAGTTTCACAACGATCGCATGAATGGTGTAAAAATTCGTAAACGACAACTCAAAAGACAAATATTAAAGAAAAAAAAAAATATATATATATATTAATATATATATTAATATATATATATATATATATATATATATATATATATATATATATATATATATATATATATATATGTATACATATCGTCTTTTTCTCGACGCGCCGCTCCCCCTAGCCCGAAAAACTGTATACGCCTTTGAAATATATGTATATACCTGTGTGTGTATGTGTATATGTATGTAGACTACATGGACTATGTGTCTGTGTCTATCAGATTGGTAGAGGAGTGGTGTTTGAATGAGTGTTTGTATGAGTGCATGTGTGTGTTTGTTTGTTTGAAAAAAAAAATTTAAACTAAATAAATTAAAACTAAAAAAATTTTAAACTATTAAAAATAGCTTTATTTTATAGAAAGATCTAGACCATACCTTAATGCACATAAAACAGCAGCACATATAATAGCCAGGACTAAAAGGAAAGCCACGATGGTAATTATTTTTAAGTTTCCTTCTTCTGCTGATGAAAAATGAAGGTATTATTTCTATTTTTTCAATTAGCTTAAAATATGAACAAGTATGAAAATGTGTAGTATACAATTAGCTAGCCTGTAAAAAAAAAAACAAGAATAATAAGGTATTTGATGTTACCTTACAGGACGAGTACTTGCAGAGTGAAATCGAAACCTCTATTTGCTATTCTATAGCCCTTAAACTTTGAATAATTTAACTACGAAAACTTTTTATTTCTTGTCGCTTTTTTTGCGAATAAATGAGTTTGCAATAAAAAAATATATATTTATTTATAAACTGAAAATACATTGTCAAGATCATAATCTTTATCTACACTTAAAGGGTATGCAGAAAATACCAGTCTAAAAGGACGTATTAGAAAGGAGGTATGGGTAGGTAACGTAAAGCCTCCGTTATGCAAGTATATGCGCCACTAGAGAAAGTTGCGTTGGATTTACAGAGAGGGAGTAATGGAAGATCGACATTTTTAATCGAGATTTTTTGAATGTGTTGGGGGCGGCCTAAATTGTCTTGAGGGAGTTCTGAAATTAGACGAGGGAGGTCAAAATTGTCTTGTTTAAGACGCGAAGGCCAGATGAAATTTTATTCAAAAACCCGTAACCACTAACCGTTTATCTAACCGAAAATAAAAATAAAAAAGTTTTGCCCACCAACATATATACGCTACTTTTTGACTAACCTCAAAGAAAAAGCTGGTTTTGACTAAAGACTCGTTTAGTTTTTTGTTTCCTTCGTTTATAATTCCAGTATCAAAAGTGGATTTCCTCCAACAGAAATAAGCATTACATTTCTTTCTGGAAGTGCTTCCAAAGCCTTTGTCCACCAACAACTACAATGCAGCAGTTGTTTGATTTCAGAGTTTTCTCTCATACATGGGTTGTTGTTCCCAGGGATTTTGGGAGTTAGCTATCATACATCCTCCCTCCCGAATATGCCAAACACAATTAGTTTTACATCACAACTTTTAAGTGTGTATCGATATTTACCATCAGGTTCTGCATCGGGACAAACGCCAACAATTGTCACTGCCGTTACATTTTTGTCATCGTCATCATTCCAATAGCCCAGTTCCCAGGGGTAAAGACTTTGAGGCTCGGCAATACAGTATAACTTGGATCGAGCCCCAAGCCCTGCCGTACTTTTGCCTGTGGTAACATTTTTTATGTGTAATATATACGGGAATCAAATACAACAAAATTTGTATTGGCTAATTTACTCTAATAATTGGTTGTGCGTTTATGCTTAACTCGGTTTAAAGTTATCATTGATTTTTTACTCTCTTGTATACAGAGTATTGAGGAAGTATTGTAATCGTGCACAAAAATCACATACAATTTTGACAGTTTTCATAATTTTAACCTCATTACTTCAAAATATACCGAGTACATGGGACTTATTTTAATCGGGCAAAAATTATAAAGGCAGATTTATTTTTGGCGTATATGTATATGTATGTGTGTATGTCTGTAAACACGATAACTTCAGTACTGTTACAACTAGGTTGACGAAATTTTATATACAAGTATTATATCAAATGTGTAGTTCTGTATGAACTTTCAGCGATTTCCGGCAATCGGAAGTGGAGCTTATTCTACCTTCAATTTTTCAAAAGCCTATAACTTAAGAACTTTTTAAGAAATATGAATGGAATTTCATACAGAAGTAAATGATCTAATTTACTACTTTCTCTCAAACTTTGAGTAATTTCCTTTAACGAAAGTAGTAATGTACGCTATTTCTAGTTTTCTTAAAAAAGCATATGAATGTATAGAGTACTAATAATAGTCCGCACTATTATACACATATTGTTTGACATTCACTTGGTGCGCCATTATTTTTATTTCTACGAGATTCTATTCTATTTTAAAAGTTTAAGTAATTAACAATGGATTAAAAATCATGTCTATATCCCGAATTGTCATCCCCCAAAGTGTTATAAGAATATTCGAGAAAGTTTGTCTGTGAACACAGTAACTTGTGTACCGTTACAGCTAGATTGATGAATATTTCATTTATAAGTATTATATAAAATTTGTAGTTTTGATTCAACTTTTCAGTTATTTTCGGTAACCGGATAAGGAACTTATTCTACTTTCAATTTTTCAAAGCCTATAGCTTGAGTACTGTTTCTGATAGATATGTGACATTTTACATGTAAATAAAAAATTTAATTCTACGCACTTTGTCAAATTTTGAGTAATTTCCGTTGAGCAGAGGAGTAATGAACGCGATTTCCGCTTTCGCAAAACAAAAAACAAAAAAACAACCCGAATATGAATTTTAAAGTACTAGTAATATTCCGCACTATTATACACAAATTGTTTGCCATTTATTTAATGCGCTATTTTTTTTTTCGAGATTCTATTCTATTTTAAAAACTTTTAGTAATTAAAAATGGATTTAAAATCATGTCTATTTTCAGAGTTGACATCCCCCGTATTGTTATAAGAATATTCGAGAAAGTTCAGGAGAGATCACTTCCGATTTATTTACATATATTTTTCTAAATGGGGATTCTAGTTTTTAAGATGGTTAAACTTAATTTTAAATATACGATTTCTGCTAAAATATCTAAATCACATATACGCGCAAATTAACTAAAACCAAACTTCTGAAATAGAAAATCAGGAGCCTACATTTCTTTTCCCCTGAGCCTAGCAGTGGATGAGATATGAAAGTAGTGGGAAGTGACCAACAAGAGCTTACCAACTGGACACAGGTAACAACAGCTTCTCCTCAAGCTGGGCTGGTAGTAACCAATGGGGCAGAGCTTACATTCTCCATTTTCCCAATACGTGCCTCGTCCACAGCTCACTGGCAGACAGAGAGTAAATATTTTATTGTCAAATGGGGCTTTACAAATATTAAGAAACGGGCAAATTACATTTAAAAATGAACCAATTAAAACAACGAAAGAAAGCCGCTGTTTCTCTTAACATTTTATCAGATGTTATTGTTTAATTTTAGCCAAGCTTGAAAAACAGTATAGAACTTTTCAAAGACTTTTATACAAATTATTTCATAAACTGGAAAACGTTGTTGTTATTGTTGTTAGAGAGTATTGTGTTGTATTAATTTTATGTGTGTAGGCTATAGGCCTACAGTGGTACCTCGTGATGCTAATTTAATTTGTTTTAGCATTGCTTGAATGTCGAATTGATCTTATCTCAAATCAATTCCTTGTAACCGTTCAAGCTCAAAAATACCACCCCTTGCTTTAAATATGCATTTTAATTAAAAAATATATTCATAAATAACAAGTGTAGTAAACAGCATTGCGAAAAAGAATATAAAGCAATAATCTGTCTTCATAAGGTGTAGATTATTTGGAAATAAGCCGGGCTGAGCTTGATGCTGTAGATACTGTTTTGATGTGTAGAGTAGGGAGAAGCAATACTACTTCGTTCATTCACACTCTACACAGTTAAGCTGTTTTGGTTACTTTAATTTACTTACTCGTATAATCGTAATGCTGTACTTCATCTCTAACCTTAATGGAACTCATCTAAAAATCAACTGAATACAAGTGAACTCAAATGCTTCTTGATACTTTAGTATTACATTCGCTTAATTTTCATGATTTCTTTTCACTGGTCTTTGCCTTTTTTTGCCAACCTTTACTCACTCATATGTGCAGGCCGTTTAAAACAAAACTAGTTAAAGGGGTTTGTTTCTTGTTTTCTTACAGAATGTTGCGGAAAATAGCTGCGATGCACAAGCAAGTGCGTCTATTTTAGGGCGTTTCTTTTCACGAATTTTGGAACCCGCAGATCCATTTCCATGTATCTAAAGTTTTGCTCGCAACTCAAAGCAAAATATATTTCGTTCTACTGCTCTTACCTTAGAAATCTCATATCTCGGTCCTTGGTATGTCATGGTACCAATGTATATGTTAATTTGTATGTTTTCCTTTGCTTTTTGTCCTTAAATAACATGGCTGTACTTACCGCAAACTTCATGATAAAACTTGGTCCCAACTGGACAAATATGGCTGACTGATGTGTCAAGAGTTGAAAGGACTACTTCCACGATCTTATTGTCAATGTTAGTAATGAAAATCTCGCTTGATTTGAGGTACAGCAGGGAGGAGACGTCATCAAATTCTTTCATCCTTTGAATAACTGTCCTTGTTTCTTCATCTATAAAGACATATATCCTCATAAATAATTTTCTGTACAGGAAATGTAATTTGTTTAATATTATTAATGTTAGAAATAACCTGGAATGGAAGATCATATCAGTGTGCAAATTTAAGGCCAATAAAATAATTGAAGAGTTTGTAGCTTCAGTGGTGCTGGTGGGTAATCAAATCCATTAAGTGTGGAATTTATTTTAAATTTATTTTTATTTCAGACTTGCGTATTTGTTAGGGCAGAAATCCAATCATTTTACTGTTATTTTGTCATATGACAAGCAAAAAATATAGATATGAATACTGGACGAAACAAAACAGGAGTGCGAGCGTCTATACAAAACAGAACTTTTAAAAATGGCGTATGAAGCAGAGAATATAAGTGCAGGAATTCATAAAGGAGAAACCACAGATACACCAAAAACATAAGTTAATTTTTGCAAGATGTATCGGGCAATGTAAAAGCCCCTGATGAATGGAAAACTTGTCTAATAGTCAAACTGCCAAAAAGTGAATTTAAAAAAATTGTTTAAAAACTGGCCCTCTAGACCACTCACCAGTCAAACATTGTGCAAGAGCATTCTACAGTGTCATCAAAAATTTTCTCTCTGAAACATCCTACATCGAAATTATAAATTGAACAGGCCCCAGTGTGCATTATTTTTAAAACGTTTTTCTTAACTCAGCTTCGCGTTTGTTTGTTTGTTTGGTTGTTTGGATGTTTGTTGTTAAAATTGACATCGAAAATTAGCCCACTTCTGATTGCTCTAGAGACCTGAAATTTGGCATGCATGCTACTTTCGCCTAACAATTTCAGATGCAATCATAAAAACTAGCAATTAGTGAGCGTAATTAGCTTAATTTAATTACGCCCCAAGGACCATAAAATTGAGGACATGATTTCTAAAGATACCGACAAGACTGGAGGCCTATTGACACAGTTACTTCGGCCCCAATCGATGTGAGCGTATAGTGGTTAGTACTTCGCGTTGTGGCCGCGACAACCCAGGTTCGAATCCTGGTCGCGCAAGATTTTTAGTCCGTGTATTTATAAACACTTTTTTAAAAACCACGTTTTTCATGTGTAGCAACGGACTAAAAAGGAGAAAATAAAATACTTAAAAAAAAACTTTTTAAAAAACCACGTTTTTTATGTGTAGCAACGGACTAAAAAGGAGAACGGACACAGTAACACATTGTTAACGGTGACACGGTTGGTACGCTGGGCATGCTAAAATACACATAAACACGTTTTTCCTTAACTCAGCTTCGCGTTTATTTGTTTGTTTATGGGAGATTTGATCACGTGATTCGTGAGTAGATCTCCACGCCAGTAAATTACACCCTTTCTCTGTTTAAAGCGTATCGGTCGCTCAAGATTTTTTTAGTCCGTGTATTTAAAAACACTTAGTCAAGTCATACTTAATCAAGTGATTAGATAAAGTAGAAAATAAACTATATAAAAAACTGTTTAAAAACCACGTTTTTCATGTGTAGCAACGGACTAAAAAGGAGAAAATAAAATACTTAAAAAAAACTTTAAAAAAAACCACGTTTTTCTTGTGGACTAAAAAGTAGAAAATAACTATTTACATACATTTGATGACAAAAAACGTGGGTCGGGCAGATGGGTCGGGAAATTTGATGGTGAACGTACCCACGTTTTTTGTCATCAAATGTATGTAAATAGTTATTTTCTACTTTTTAGTCCACAAGAAAAACGTGGTTTTTTAAAAAGTTTTTTTAAAGTATTTTATTTGCTTATGAAAAGGTTTTTGAGAAAATAATCAACGCAATCTAAAAAACTAGGCATGCTGCCCAGCTTCGCTTAGGCTTTCAAAAACATTGAGAATTTGAATGCTTAATTAATTCGCCCGAGGGTCGGTCTACGACCTCAGAAGTTATGAAGAGGTTCCTACGTGGATAATTTTTTTTTCGATTTATAGCTCATATAATGCGCGGGCAGTCGAGGTCTCTTTTGACCCCCTCATCGTAGACCTTTAGGCCAACCGGCACCGGCGACGTAGCGTCTAAGTGTAGTTTTTGCGTAGATCTAGATCTAGTCCAAATAGATAATATATTTTTTTAAAGTTTAGGCCGAGAATATCGTATTGTGTAGTCTACATTTCATAGCGTACATAGCTCTAAATCATATTTGAATGAAATAGTTCATTTTTTAAAATTCTAAACTCGGAAGATGACGTCATCAGTTTCGTGCTCTTGTTTTAGTGTAAACAATAAGCGACGTCATTGTTAAATGCGTTCTTGTCCCAAGTTTATACACTTTTCCGGTTGCATAAATAATACTGTTTCTCTATATTCGAATACGCCTTTTTTTTTTTTTCTTCTTTAAATAAAATTGTGGTTATACATTTAAAACATCTAACATATTATTTTCAACAAAAGTCTGAAAAAATTCTCGATATATCGCTGTAGATTCTGTTGTGATGTCCGGCGAAAATATTTTGCGGACAGACAGAGAGAGAGAGAGAGAGAGGTGTGAACGTGGCCTATTATAGATTTAGATTATATGAACTGTTTCAATACAGAGTTATATGCGGTAACTATATCACGGATAAGGTTATCGTGGGAGTCAAACAATAACGTCTTCTGTACCCACCGCATTTATACCTTGTATTTGACTGGCCGACGCCACAAACTACTGATGAAGCAAGAGGGATCAGATAGATACTAAAAATTCTACTAACTAGTAGTCTGTTTGAGATGCAAGAAAAACTAAAAAAAGACTTATTTCTTTTGCTAATGGATTTGAATTCAAAGTAAACAATAGCAAATCAAATCTATGAAGAATAATACAACGAGTTAAGAACCCATTAAAAGGTTCATAAACGTAAACAAACCAAAGAATATCCCTCTAATCCACCGCCTCATATTTATAAATAACACGACTTTGTGCCATCACAAATAAGAAAATATTCAGGTACAATCGCCATTACAAACACACTGTATCAAATGAGCATCATCGAGTGTCGTTTGATTAGAGACACATACACACTTACACATACACATACACGCACACACACATACACACACGCACACACACACACACACATAGATACACAAATACACACACACGTACCTGTTGCTGTACTTGACAGAATGTTTGGCGAGGTGGCAGACACAGCAATGCTCACAACAAGGGGCTCTACAATAAATGAAATACATCTATTATCCCGGAATTTCTGATTGGATATTGCCATTTTGTGATTACTACACTCCTATTTCAATCATAATGCACCTCTAATTTAATATTTAAATCGATCCCTAACCTTAAATGTGACCAAACCTTGGTCGTAAAAAATAAAACTGCTCGATGTAATATAGACTTTAGAATGCAAATATAAAAATACCTAATTCCAAAAGCGTTAATTTAATTAAATCATTCATCTTGAAGACTAAAATAATAACATTGAATATTTATAATACATTTTTTTAATTCAATACAATGATCAAAACGCGTTTATCATACAGCTAAAAATGCATTCAATAAATTCATAATGTATTAATTATATTTTTACTTTCTCGTACATACGAAGTATAGAGAAAGTCTTGTAATCGATTTTTTACACCTCACTGATACGGAAAAAATTTTTTTGCAATCTTGTCCGTATGTCTGTGTGTGTGTGTATAAACACGATAACTTGAGTACCGTTACAGCTAGGTTGATGAAATTTAATATATATGTATTTTATCAAAATCGTAGATCCGTATCAACTTTTGAGCGATTTCCCCTAAACTTTCTCGATTTTTATATAAAATAACAGGGGATGGGAACTCGGGCTATAGACATGATTTTTATCCATTTTAAATACTTAAAGTTTTAAAAATAGAATAAAATCTCGTAGACAAAAGAATTGCACACCAAGTGAACGCTAAATAAAACAGTGCATAATAGTGCGCAATATTATTAGTACTTTAGAAATTTACATTAGTTTTTTGAGAATTCGGAAGTAGCGTAAATTACTACTTCCGGTCAATGGAAATGACTCAAAATTTAACAGAAGGTAGAGAATTAGATCTTTTACTAACATGTGAAATTTCTATCTGAAATAGTACTCAAGTTATAGGCTTTTGAAAATTTCAAAGTAGGAAAAGTACCACTTCCGGTTATCGGAAATCGCTCTAAAGTTGATACGGATCTACGATTTTGATAAAATACTTATATATGAAATTTCATCAACCTAGCTGTAACGGTACTCAAGTTATCGTGTTTACACACACACACACACACACACACACAGAGACACACAGACATACGGACAGAATTGCCAAGTCCAGTTTTTCAGACTGGATTACGCATAAAACCCTCTTAATTTTGATAAATCTGGATTGATAATTTTTGCCCGATTAAAATAAGTCCTCTATACTTCGGATGTAATTAAGGACTGAGGTGTAATACGGTGAAAATTGTTAAAATTTCAAGTGATTTTTGTGCACGATTACAATACTTTCTCTATACTTCGTATATACGAGAAAGTAAATATGTAGACATTATGATATTAACCTTCATTCATAATGGAAACCTCTTTCGTGCAGTAGCGGCATTTTTCAAATATTAGTTTGTGGGTATTTCGTTGTATAGCTGCTTTTACAAGAGTTATGTTTCTTGTTTTCATCCTGACTTCCATTTTGAAAGTTCTCAACGTCACAGACGAAGCATCTGGTTAATAACGAAAGCGAAAGTGGTAATGTAATGTATATATTTATAAAAAATAATATTGTCTTTTGATACAATACATCCTGTTAGAGAGAATAACATGTCTTGTAATATGCGAGGCTTTATCTTTCTCAATTCACTTTGATGTCACTATCTGAAAACCCTCACAGGGGGTCGGCGTGGTCGAGTCGGTAAAGCTCATGGTTGCTAAACCGAAAAGTCTCGAGTTCGAACCCTCGGGCAGATGAGGCTCGTTAGCTGCGGACAGCCACTCCAAAATTAAACAACTGCTGCCTTGTAGTTTGTTCTTGGTTGGACAAAGGCTATAGAAGCAAATCCAAAAAGAAAAGCAGGCTGAAATCGGAGTCAATGGCCTCAATGGCGCATAACCAGTTGACACGTAACGCTTAATTGTTGGAGGCGTGGTCGAGTCGGCCAAAAGCTCATGGTTGATAAATTCGAACAAAGTCTCGATAAAACCCACTGGCAGATAAATCTCGATCCGCCTCAACACTTATAATTAAGAACGAAGAAGAAGAAGAAGAAGAAGAAGAAGAAAGCCCTCACAAATTGATACAAATCGTGTGAGTATTATGTTGTAAAACGTGTGGCTGCAAAACCGAGAAGTCTAAGATTTAAGACCCAGGGACAGTAACCCATCCGGAAAAAACAACTGTAAAAGATGGAATCAGAGTCAACGAGCCGTATTGCATACTTCATGTTGACGTGTAATACTTATTTGTGCTTCCAAATTTACAAGTAAGAACAAACATAAAGACAAAAACCTTAGCACTGTGTAGCTGTACACTAAGTCTTAACCTTTAAAAACATCTAATATTGATCTGTAAATAAAGCTTCTTACATGTGTTATGATTTTTATTTAAGTTGAAAGAAGTAATTAAGTAATATAAAAGAACACATTAAAAAAAACACGGCACAATCTTCTGTAAAATAAACTATCGGTAAATAAAGTAAATCAAACGATGAGTAACAGACATGAAATACCAGCTAATTGCTAGAACACATAACAGCACGCTATGTATAAAGACGAACCCCAAAACTTTGAAACACACTCACTTACACAATGTTACACTTACCACAGACTGTCAAAAGCCCTCACCCTCACACTGCCAAACACACACACTCACACAATAAAAGATAAGCACACTAGACCAAAACACTTACCAAACATTGTGAAACCCACTCACCCACACATTCAGGAAGCCAGCCCAACGGGTTGTGTTTCGTGACGTGTGACCATGTGTAATCAGTTATAAGACCACAGATGAGTTGGACATCACGGTCAAGCATGTAGCCCGGCCTACAGTTGATCTTACATACCATGGTATCCATGTCTCTGTCCGTGGTACATGTCACATTGTCCATATTGATAGAATCAGTTTGTAGGGCTTCACACTCTGGAGGAGTATTTTTTTTAAATTAAGCATAAAAAACAACGGAAAAATACACACATGTACAGGCGTACACACACACACACACACACACACACACACACATATATATATATATATATATATATATATATATATATATATATATATATATATATATATATATATATATATATATATATATATATATATATATATATTTATTTATATACAGAAAAGTTGGTCTTAATATGTTAAATAGTTATGTTAAAACTACACTTTTATGTACACTTTTATATATTTAAGAAATTCATTTTACTTTCTACTTTTCAACTATAAATAAAAGCATGTGCTTATTATCGTTTTTATTTTTTACTATCCGTTCCGGCCATGCCCCGGGCTGGCCATTACAAGAACAACATAACCATAATGAAAATAAATGAAAATTGTGTTCATTCAGTTTCACCAATCAACACATTCTATAATGCAATAATGCAAATGTCTTTTTAGTTTTACTCTCGAATTGTGAAAAGCAAATATTCCTTACAAATCAAAATCTCATTATACATATGTTGTCGTTCTAAAGAACCGTAATGCAGTTACAAAATCTAAACGTATCCTAATGTATTGGCAACGTTACAATTCGTTCACAATAATATTATCTTAACCTAAACATAAAGGTTAATCAGTTATTTTTATTAGATTTATTTTAATTTACAATCAGTGCAAAGTTTAACAAAACAAATTGACGTAAGTAGTTCTCGCCCCTGACGACAGAAAAAAACATTAACAATAAAGTAAAATAAAAGCCTGTAGTACAAAGTCAGTTTCACAATTCAATGACTGGATGGACACCAACACTTTATTTACCCAGGCCAACACCACGAACTATTTTCCCTCAGTCAAAAATAATAGAAATCGAGAATTCGTGGTTCAACATTACCATTACGCCGCGTCGCGACAAAATTTAATAAAAATATTTTTTTTTAATTTTATTGCTAATGAAATTATAATGAAATTATTTAGTTATTGAAATCGGCGATTGGGGATTATAGTGGTGCTTACTGTGCAGACAAGAACAACTTTCTTCTGTAAAAAGGGAAACAAAACAGCATCCTTGGTTTTCATTGTATGTAGTAAGACCTGAAAAAAATTTCAGTTTCAACTGCTTTGAATCCAGAATAAGAAATAAGTTATGGTAGGTTTTTAATATCGCTTTTTTTTTCAAATTAATACTTGTTGCCATTTGAAACAAATTAAGGCATTAAAAACATTATTTTATCCATAGCTTTTGACTGCTATGCTAATTGATCTAATGAATTTTTTCATGGACTCCGGTTGTTAGTATGAAATTTATAAAATTATAATGAAGGAAAAATATGATTTTAAAAAAATAATAGGCACATAATCTATCCAATTTTAAGAAATATAATGCAATGTCGTAACATATAAAAATTAGTTGTATAATTGAAAACCATCACATATAAAATGATATGTTTATATATAAAACACCGAGTGTTAAAATGAAAAAAAATTAAAACGAAAAAAAAAAACCAACTCACTCTCAGATTGGCCACACAACCTTCCAGAAAAGCCTTGAGCACACGAGCACGTGTAATTCCTTGAAGCTACGTTGTTGATACACGTAGAACCAGAGGCGCATTGATGGCCTTTACAATAATTTGGTTCATCCTGTTGAAGTGGTAACACTCATATAATTACAAGTAGTTTAGCTGATAATATTTTATCCGAACAGGAAATATCATAAACAAATTGTTGACATAATACTCCAGTATTTGTTGTTGTTGTTTATTTTTTACTTCTCCGTATACGAAGTATAGAGAAAGTATTGTAATCGTGCAAAAAAATAATCGAGGTTTTTTTTACAAATCTCGACGTTTTACACCTCCCTGAGTCGGAAACACATAGCTTTGCAATTTTGTCCATATGTCATTGTGTGTATGTATGTATGTATGTATGTATGTTTGTGCATGTTTGTGTATCTGTGTCTGTGAAAACGGTAACTTGAGTACCGTAACAGCTAAGTTGATGAAATTTCATATATAAGTATTGTATCAAATTTTTAGTTGTTTCAACTTTTCAGCGATTTCTGGTAACCGGAAGTGGAACGTATTATACTTTCAATTTTTCAAAGCCTATATTGTGATAAATAAAATTTCATATGTAAGTAAAAGATCTAATTCGCTAGCTTCTTTCAAATTATGAGTCATTTCCGATTTCTAAAAAAAAACGCATGTGAATATATAAAGTACTAATAATATTCCGCACTAAATACACATATTGTTTGGCGACCACTTGATGCGCAATTCTTTTTTCTACGAGATTTTGTTCTATTTTTTTTTAAATTAAGTAATTAAAAATGGATTTAAAATCATTTCAATAACCCAAAATGCCATTTCTTGTAGTGTTATATCAGAATATTCGAGAACGTTTAGGGGAGATCACTTCCGGTTTATTTAAATTATTTACCGTTTATTTTTATGTTTTACCGAATATTAAAATATAGTGGACGACAGACGACCGAAAACTTGCAACTGATGTCCAAGTAAAAAAGAGATGTATTAGATCTTTCATTTGAAAAGACCCGTTACTTCTGATTCTAGTCTAAGCTTTTATTAAGTTTAAACAAATACCTAAATTCACTGCAATAATGTTTTCACGAGTTAAATATTCTGTGTTCCTTATTTGTAATATTATAGTATAGTGATTTTCTTCAACATATTGCTTCAATAGAAAAAGCGGATGTCAAATAATATATTTTGTATTCATTTACATATTTCGCTATTTATTTTCTATACTCTGTACACCAATGTAACTATCTTGTAAATATCCACCCAAACGGCGTGGAATGTTACTGTATATGTTTTAAATTGGAAAATAAAAGTATAAAATAAAAATAAAAATAAAAAAAATATATCATATAATAAAGTTTTAAGCATGCAGTAATGGATTGAAGACTCGTTTACAAATTAAGTAGTTAAACGAAAAAAAAAATTTCTACAACGCATTTTACCTGACAGTTGACACCTGACCAGTGGTCCCATCACTGATATTTGTAGCAGTGCCTAAGATATTACTAGAGCGTGTATTACCTGACAGTTGACACTTGACCAGTTGTCCCAACACTGACAAATGTAGCCATCCCTTAGACTTCTACAGCTGCCGTGTCCGTTACATGTTGTGGTCGTACAAAAGCTAGAAACTTTTAAAATATTTCCTATTTAGTTCTAATTCATTGTAAAGTCAATTAGTTACCAATAGAGAAGTAAAGTGTACATGTTACATTATGGTACATATTCTCCTAAACGTACTGCTTATTTTTAACTGAAAAATAGGTTTGCGAGTGTGGGTATGTGTACGAAAAACACCATTTATAACTGCTAAGCTACGATTGTAGCATCAGATAATATAGCAAGTGTTCAAGATTCCTCAACACTCAAACAATGGAATCATCCAATGATGTCTGGCAATACGAGCTGCCAGAAACAATGGACCGAACACTCAAAGATAATCTTGCTTTAACAGTTACCTTCATATCACCATCACATCACTTTCATATCACCATCACATCCCCTTCGTTTCACCATCACATCATCTTATTTCAAATTGTCACCATTATTTTATGCGTATTATTGATAAAAGAAGAAAAATAACGTACACGGAAGCTCAGCAACTCCTCAGAATCAACACATATGTGTACGTCTGTATCTCATTAAAGCCTTGGAACATTCGGCAGTGAGGGGGAACAGCCTTCGTCACAAAACTAATTCCAAACATAGTACACCCTTACCCCCTTTTAATCTTCGAATTTGGGCACTTAAAACTCCTCTATAGAGAAGTGGGGGGGGGGGGGGGAAGCGAGAAGGGGAACACGCTTTTCCTTATAGTAATTTAAATAATTGTGTATTATTGTATATTTAAAGATATAAATTTATTTTCTCCTTCTTAGCACTTTACCAATCCATGTTAATTATATAAATTATATTTCCGACACTAAAACAAACTAATAAAAAGTATTCCAGCCCCCCCCCCACCCATGTACTGTTGTTTTTAAAGGGAAGTAAAAATGTGTGATCTATCAAGGTAAGTAACTTGCAATAAAAAACAAAGTAAAGTAATTTGTAAACTTTTTATTTTGAATTGTTGTGAAGGGAGATACATTTTCTTTGACTTTGTTTACTTCACGTTACGTTCATTAAAAATGGTTAGTTTGAAATATGTAATTTGTTTTACAAAACAATCTACATTATTTTTTTAATCATTCATTTAGATAATAAATGCTTTAAGAATATAACAATCTGACGATCAACTCTAATTTTGTTTTACTATATGTCTCATTTCCCAAGGGTCCGTCCGCCCGCTATCCGTATATGTGTAAAAAAAATGTATGTGTAGAGTGTGTTTGATGTGTGTTTGCGTACAGTTTTAAATATTACCATAACATTGCGTCGGTAATGCCAGTTGAGGAACGTCCTGTCCAGGATAGTAATATAAAGTATTTCTTGAAATATTACATGTTGATGCAAGTTCCTTAATTTCTTTTTCATCAAATACTTCGTGTTTAAATAAACGCAAAGCGGCCATTTTCAAAGCTGTTCATAAAAAAATAGTATTTTTTAAATTCTAATAAACAAATAAAAATATTAATACAAACATAAACAAAGCTGGAATCATCTCCCTTAATTTAACACGCATATTCTTATAAAATAGTAGCGGGGTAACACTTTCAGTGTTATCGGATTATCTATCTCTTTATACTCTACTAAAATGACCCAATCTATTTACAAGTTTGTATATTTAAATACATTTAAATATATTTATTTGTCACAGTAAATAGAAAAGAAAATATGCAATAACTCTAGAATTTTGAAATTTTTACTCATGAAAAAAAAAATTCTGTTTAAAGTAAATGCATGAACACAAAAAATAGCAATTTAGAAGTACACCTTTAATTATACAATCAAAGTTGAATTTCTTTAACTTTGTATGCAGTCAAAATTAGCGTCTTACATAGATGCAATTTAAAAACTTCAATGATTTATGAAGCTTTATTTTCTTTCGGCAATAACTTTAAAAGTATATATGTCTGTTGCTTGCATTAGGTTCCATCAATTTTTAATAGGTTGTATAATTAACATTTGTAATTCAAGAATTGATTTTGATCTACCGATAAACTAAATTAAAAATGTTGGTTTGGCCTAGATTGATAATTCTGGAAGTACATCTAGAATTACACGACAAACAGAAATATCTGAGTTAAAAACAAAAACACGTATAAAAATAAAAAATAATATATATATATATATATATATATATATATATATATATATATATATATATATATATATATATATATATATCACTGTAAATAAATGTTTTAAAATATGCAATATGTGATGAATTTCAACATGCATACATTATTATGTAGAAAAAAAACCGGGAGTGATCTCCCTTAACTTTCTCGAATATTCTTATATAAAAAAACAGGGGATAGCAACTAGGGATATAGACATAATTTAATCCATTTTCAATTACTTAACGTTTTAAAATAGAGTAAAATCTCGTAGAAAAAAGATTGCACACCAAGTGAACGCAACACAAAAAGTGTAAAATAGTGCGGATTATTATTAGTACTTTATCGATTCACATGCGTTTTTTGAGAAATCGGAAATAGCAAAAATTACTACTTCCGTTCAATATAACTTACTCAAAAATTCACGGAAGGCAGAAAATTAGATCCTTTACTTACATATGAAATTTTATTTATCTATCTGAAATAGTACTCTAGTTATAGGCCTCTGGGACAATGAAAGTAGATATTCAAAGTGAAAATATCAACAACATTTTCTTTAAAGATATTAATGAGATGAATCACTTACTCGGATGGGAAAAAAACACTTATTAATCTATACAAACTAAGAACAAAGACTAAACATTGCGTCATGCACTGAAGTGATTCGCTTTAAAATAAACCGGGAGTAATCTCCCTTAAACTTCTTCGAATATTCTTATATAAAAAACTGGGGATGTGAACTCGGGATATAGACATGAATTTTAATCCATTTTAAATAATAAAACTTTTAAAAATAGAATTAAATCTTGTAAAAAAAAATAATAGCACACCAGTGAACGCCCAATAAAATGTGCCTAATAGTGCGGAATATTATTAGTACTTTATTAATTTACATGCGTCTTTTATAAATTATACATTTTTAAAGGGCTTGCATTGGATCGACCACTTGCACATGCGGCAGAAAGTTGATATTTGGTGAGGAAGTA